ATTTAATGGTTGCAGATTCATAGGTTATAGAACATAATTTTCAACCCATACTTCTATACTTGATCATGTATGTCTTTTTTCAATTTTTTATTTAAATAATAAAACAATGCAGATCTTTACCCATGGATTTATAGTATTTAAAATATATTAGTTTGTCAGCACTGATGTAATAAAGTACCACAAACTGAGTGACCTAGAACAACATAAATTTATTGTCTCACAGTTCCAGAAGCCAGAAGTCTGAGATCAAGGCGCATCAACAGAGCAGTGCTACCTCTGAAAATGTTAGGGGAGGATCTGTCCAGGCCTCTGTCTCGTACCCATGGATTTATAGTATTTAAAATATATTAGTTTGTCAGCACTGATGTAATAAAGTACCACAAACTGAGTGACCTAGAACAACATAAATTTATTGTCTCACAGTTCCAGAAGCCAGAAGTCTGAGATCAAGGCGCATCAACAGAGCAGTGCTACCTCTGAAAATGTTAGGGGAGGATCTGTCCAGGCCTCTCTTCTGTCTCCTGGCAGCCTGACTCCAATCATTACATGATGATTTTCTTGTGTGTGCCTGCCTCCTCTTTGTAAGGACAGCAATCTTATTAGACTAGGGACAACACTACTCCTGTATGACCTCATCTTATCTAACTATATCTACAAAAACTATTTCCAACGAAGGCTGCATTCTGAGGTACAGGGTGTTAGTCCCTCAACATATGAATTTTGGAGGACACAATTCAATCCATAACAAAAATAATTTCCTTAGCATGCCTAGAAATTTCAATAACAGAATTTCCTCCTCAAAACAAAGTCTGTTGCTAGACATCACTAAAAGTTTCTGAAATTATTACAATTTTTACTTCTATCAACCACACATCATGGTGTCTGACCTATGACACCATTGATAGCCTCGGGAATTACTTGTAATATCATTTTAATATTATCCAATCTTTGCTAACTTTATGGTTGTGATTAGGCATAATTTTAATAAGTTAGATCATTTTTCATGCTTATTTATCATTGTTGCATTCTAATTTGTGAATTATTTAGTTACATTCTTGAGCCTTTATTTATTGGGGAATTAGGGTCATTTTTTATAGACATAGTTCTTTTTATACACTGAACATATTAAGTAATGTTTTCAGCAAATACATTTTATTTTCTTTTTAATTGTTTTTATATACAAAAATACTAAATGGACACAAAAAATTTATCAAACTTTACTTGTGGTATTTTTTTTACCTCTAAGTTTAAACATTCTTCTCATTCCATAGCATTAATAAATATTTTTTCTATTTTTACTTTATTTTATAATTAATTATTTAATACATCTAGAACTTCATGGGATATGAGGATACAAATATTACAGATACTTAGACTATGGTCTAAGCATCACTTCACTAGTGCTTCTCTGTTTTTAATAATATGTCCTTTCATATTGTTCAATGTATCCATTTTATATATTGAATTAAGTATAAGCATTTATTACTTAGGTATATTTTGTTTCACTCATCTTTTAAACTATTATTTTGCCAGTATCATGATGTTTTTAGCTTTCATAGATTTTTAATATTGGTGTACATTCTCTTATTCTAATTTTTAAAGTCTTAGATGATTTCACTTGTTAATTCAGTTATGCTTGAAATTAGGATAATTTCAAATTACAAGTTGCCATTAGGATTTTAACTGTTAAATCTATAAATATGTTAGAAAACAGTTTATCTGCCCTATACAGAAAGGCAAAACAAATTTTCTTTATTCAGAGTTTTAGATACTTTTATAAAGTGATGTAGCTCATTTAAAGTTTTTCATTCAGTGTTCAGCAAATGTTTATTGGTCCTCTGTATGTCAGTATAGTAAGAGCTGAGAAAAGGTTAAAAAATTATCAAGGAGCTTCTATCTAAGAAGATTGCAGATAAGGAAACTGGCAAAGGATAAGGATTAGCCAAGAGGAATGCACAGTGTACAGTGCTCATGTACACAGGGCAGAAATCCCTGATAAGTGACATATTTCCAGAAAGAGAGATTATGCTTCAGCTGAGTTTTGGAGGCTGACAGGCAGTT